TGATCACCATATACTTCTGTCAACAAATTGTAAGTTTCAGTGGCAGATTTTCCAAGTTTTGTGAGGAATTTGATGTTAGCACGTTGTTCTGCATTAGCACTCAGCATTATTCCGACGGAGCTCAGAAACACGATCCGCTTCTAACAATGGTCGCGGCCAGACTAACCTATGCACGTGAATGAAACTTTGTGTGACGGTAGAGGGAAGTCCAAGGGTCAATGCCCTACCCTCCTCTTCGTCAATGACGTGGCCAGAAATGAGTCATAAAAGTAATCCGGTTTCTTTATTGCCACACCTTGTATCTTTGGACCAGTGGAAGAAAATGGAATATGGAGGAAGAGGTAAAACCATGAGCTATACAAACTATTTAATGAACCAGACATTTTGGGATTTATAAAGGTGAAAAGGCTTGAATGGGCTGGACACATAATATGTGCCAGCGAGAAGAGAACCATCAAGAAAATGCTTAATACTAAACCAGAAGGAAATAGGAGAGTGGGAAGACCAAGAGTGAGATGGGAAGAATGTGTGTGGCAGGACATAAGAATTTTGGGTGTAAAGAACTGGAGGAATGTAGCATCGAATGGAGAAGAATGGTGAGCAATCCTCAGGAAGACCAGGGCTCACAAAGGGCTGTTGTGCCAGTGATGATGATGATGATGATGATGATGATGTAGTGTGTCTCATCATTTAAAAATGCACTGTTGGAATTTTTACTCATGTATGTACTGATGTTTCAAAGTTCATTATATTTTGATTTTGGTTTATTAATTGATTCTTGCATTATTTAAGAAGAGTTTTTCAACTTCATGTGGCACCAAATGATAGGAAAATTATGTGAACAATCAGAAAGAAAGTAGAGGAATGTGGCTATGGTCTGCTTTTAAGGTACTACCCAATATTTACTTGGAGTAACTGAGGAAAACAATATTCTCAGACAGAACAGCACATCTGCAGGCCAAGTCTTAAAATTAGACCTCTATATCATGAAGCAGGAATGCTAAGCACTCTTATCAGAACATTTTGTGACGCAGCTCATAACAATGAGGAATTTGTTCTGGAAAACAGACCTTCATATTTTGCATCACTGTGAGTTCATGAACTGTGGCTACAGATTACTGAAAATCATATGTAACATTTCAGGTTATGTGATCTTAACAAGAGAGTGACCTTTCCTGTCTTCAAGGTTACTATCTTTTGTGATGTGATGCTCTGTAGCATGGTAGAATCTATCAATGTTTTGGAGGAATGTGGTGCCATATTCAGGGTAGAAGAAAAAAGGGTTGACACAGGAAGAGGTACAGCTGTGATAGGAGACAAGATTACATGGTGTCACATAACAGAGGATTGAAATCTTCATAGTCAATGCTATGGGACCCTCAAATTTCATTTTCTTCTTGTTAACTTACCGATTCAGTCATGGATGTTAAAATGGCAGGAGATTTTTTGTACGTCCAGTTATCTTGCTTGGATATTGCAGTATATATATCTACATGTGGCTTGTATGTAAGTGTGATAATAAGATGTGAAGTAAGGAATGGCTGCAGGAGTTCAGCACACAGTGTTGAAACATCCGGCAGCAGTGACAGATAATTCTTATGGCTGAAAGGCTCCTTTACTTCTGTGATGGCATTCAGTGATGCAGCCAAAATACTATTCATTGTCTGGGTAAGAAATATACAAAATATGTTCTGTTACAATTATATTCATCCTCTGGAGAAAAGAATGTAATACACATCAACATCTTCCCCTCGAAAACCATAATATTCTAATGAAAAATATAGAACGCTGTAGGACACAAAAAGATTCCTAGCTCATTCCAATAAATAACAAAGCATCTGAAGAACTTTATAATCTCTACTCTTCACCTAATATTGTCAGAGAGCTAATCTGCAGGATGACAGGATGAACAACATACATTAGCATGCATGAGAGAAATAAGATATACATATAAATGTTAATCAGAAAAGCCACCAATGTCATTAAATAAACCACACATAAATGAATACCATGTAATATTAAAGGAGGAGGCCACTTGGAAGTCCTAGGCATAGATGGAAGGATAATATCAATTTGGATATTAGTTAAGATTGTGAAGTGTTGTGAAGTAGAGGAAAGCAGAATGGCAGCCTTTCTGGACACAGTGATGAATCTTCCAGTTACATAAAAGAAGGGAATTTCTTGACTAGTTGAATAATTTTAAACTTTTCATGAAAGAATCTGTTCCACAGGATTAGTAAACTATCATGGTTTCTTTCAACCCAGGGATGTAGTAACTTACCCTGTTGATGATATTTTCTAGGATATCATCACAGTTCTTGGCACAAGACTTGATTCCTACAGTGTTGTTAGGGCCTGGAACTTGAGCCACAGAAAGTAACAGAGATACAAGTTCGCTAGCCATTTCTTGCTTTAATTGTAACAAATCACCTTCATCATTATCCCTAATTTCATCCAAGATAATATCATTTACTGAATTTGTCTGATTAGCACTAGCAGTTATAATTTCTTCAACATCCATCATCTGTTCTGTAACATAAAAGACACACATCCTCAGATCTTGCTTCTTGCTTGCTTCTTCAATTCTCATTTTCTGCACGTCCTTACTACTGCTATTACTACTACTTAAACATAATTAAAAATTACCATAGATTTGTACCACATAAATATGATGCTAAATTACACTACATAAAGACAGCTGTAAAAATCTCATATCCCACACAATTATTCTTTCAAGAACTGTATCACAAGTACGTTACAAACATTTATATCAACAAACAACTTGCTCACAGGATTGCATGAGTAAATGCATTACCATTTATTCCAGAGGAGACATCTCTGGCATCAGAAGAAGCAACACCACTCAGGGAACAGAGTAAATTCACCATGCTGCATTTTATATGATCAATCACTTCCGTTCGATTTTCATTGCTGCAAGAAAAACTCTTTAACATTATTTCTGTAACAAATGTTGCAGTCGAATCACAGCACTTATGCCTCATATTTGAGAGGTACCTGGTCTGAATATCGACCCAGGGGCTGACTATCCAGACAGGATTTCCAGTTTTCTTCAGTCCCCCTATACAAATACTTGGATTATATCTTACATCAATTCACTGATTGGGATAGGTATATTTTACTTTTGAAACCATTTTCTTTATGGCCATAGTTATAGGAAATATTTACTCCTAATACAATGATGTACGTCAGAAATTAATGAGAAAATATCCTACCAAGCATTTGGTACAGTTTACAAAAAATCAATGACATGACCTATAAAAGTAACTGAAATTGTGGTAAATTACAAAGCAAACACAGTAAAATAAACAAGGATTTGCACAAAGGAAAAGCTAGAAAAATATGCACTGTCTTGAAAACATCCAGTAACTAGACAAATGACGTAAAAAGCGAGTGGGCATATGATTTTTCTTCTGGCAGTAGAGGACTACTCTTTGAAACACCATGTCAATAATTTATAATTATATACTTACCAATATATGTAACTTGTAAACATCACCAAATCTGTGTGATGAAAATACCACAGCACATGCAGAGGAATCATGTCCTGCAACACAGAGATATATGAACTTAACATATATAAACTGGCAACTAACTTAAACCAGATGAAGTAATCTGAGGCAATACAAGGCCAACAGATACAGAGCGAGGTACTCATTGCATAATATTTAGAATTTTGGATCCCTTGCAGTCTGTGAAATGGAGATTTTTACAGTATAAGATTATAAGTTACACTACCCCACATAAATGGTACTGGCATCCTCTTCATTGTTTTCATGGGTCTCAGAGTACATAGAGTTGTAAGCATGGTTTACTTAATCAAATGACAGGATTCATCTGAAGGTTAACATGACTGGGATTATGAAAACGCTGTGGAATGTGTACTGGTCTAACAGTGGCAAAACAGATGGAGCAGCAGTGTTGTTATCTTCCAACAAAAGATGCCAAGATGCATCAACTTGTATTTTAACTGAAGATATATTTTAACATCAATCTAGATACAGTAATTTAGAATCACACTGCAACAATGGTGAGGATGGAGAGAGTCTTTCAGCCACAATGTCTTTATATAGTCAATGCAACATTTTAATATTACGCCATATCCAACAAATGAAACTTAAATCACTAATGATATGCTGGAATATCAAACTGCCTTAATTATCTCTTTAAATTTTAATATTTATTCTTTGATTCAAAGCCATATCTGTCAGTTACTTTTAACTGAAGATTAATCTGAGTTGAAATAGAGCAAATTCACCCTTACAGCAGAATCGCTCATCACCGAAACTGCTATCGCGAATGTCTAATGTGATTTAACATCTAGCAAAAGGTGAATGAAACTTCCCAAGTCTCCCACAAGCTCTGAGTTCCAGGCTCCATACTGCACGATTGCTGTGGACCAGTTAATATGAATCAGCTACAGAATAGCAAACTGTCCGACTGTGACCAATTAATGGTCCCATAATACATATGTATGGTTCCAAAACAAAACACAATATATCACTACAAGAAATTTTAAAGGTAGGGAAACCAACAAACAAGCATGTACTTCCTAGCCACTAAATGCCTGCCCATTAAGAATGGCACAAAATCAGAATTTACGAGTGGACATCCATTTGTTTCCAGGTGCTGAGGAAATCCAAGTCCCTTGTTAATAAACACTTCAGTTCAAACCACAAACTGATTGATTAAAGCTGGAGACGGATAATCTTGTATCCTCTTAGCTCCTTCCTTGTCTCTTGTGACTATTTTAAAACTGTCACTGTTAAATCTATATACTGAAACTAGGTATGATTGGGCATTTAAGATCCAAGACTTACGTACCATTTCAAAATACTTCAGTCTGAAACTGTCGATGTTAAATTTATTCATTTTAAGTAGTTTCTTTACAACTGCTGTTAAATCAGCAAGATCTTTTTGCATCCTCCGTCCCAGTAACAACGGGCATTTCCTTCCAAACTGTGATCTACAAGTCAACACAGTGTCTTCCAATGCTTTTGCACATATATTTGCTGTAACCAATGCCACAGATTCTCTTGACAAAGAGGAACCTCCTGCAGCATAACCTTGCAAAACTGGGATAATCTAAAACAAATTTTTTGTAATCACAATGTTATTTTGAAGCAAAAACAAGTTCAATGCACATCACATTGGTTTATTATTACTAACTCTAGGTATGGGAAGAAGGTGCACAAACATTGACTGCCCAATCACAGACAGCAGGACTCTCCACATTATGTGTGTGTGTGTGTGTGTGGGCGAGCGCACACGTGCAGGCATGCATGCGAGACATTCAGAGAGAAAGGGGAGGGGGGAATTTCATTACCACAAAATTTTTTCATTCTCTGCACAGTACATATAATGAATAAAGTAAAAAAAATAAAAAAAGTAAAGCCATCCCTGTAACAGGCCGTGAAGGCCCATAGGGTTGTGAGATATTGAGGGTCCCACATTATCTAGACAATTGGCTGAAAGATGAGGTAAGGTTGTCAGCCTTACGCGCTGGCCATGCTTTACTCCCTAGGAAAATTATTTAATTAATCCCTGGTACTCATTTCTGTTAGAGGCTGAGTTGACCCCAGGGCCATAGTGCAGACAGAAGGATTAGGTCAATTGAAAAAATCCAATGAACTCATCGGGACTTGAACCCGCGACCTTCTGGTTTGTAGCATAGCCCCTCAACCAACTATGCTACCGCATGCCCTCAAAATATGACTACGTAATGAATTTTGATAAAATCCAGTACTGTGGAGAGGGCTTAAACTAAAATTTATCTGGCATATTTAATTTTGAACCACTGACTCAGTACAGCTCGATCTTGCACGACAGTGAATTCACCACATAAAAAGTAGTACAACTCATAAAATACATAATTCATAAGACCTACAACTTTTATTTAAACTCACACAAAGTATATCATCTGCAGCAAACAACAGATTTTGTCTGAAATAAATGAGCATCAAAGTGGTTGATGTATGTAAAGTTTGAAAGAATATGTTTAGGATATATGTGTATTCCAAATGTGAGTACACATTTCCACTCCTGTGGTTACAAACTTCATTTCCATAATGATCTCAACTATATATTTTCAAAATGTATGAAGTTGTTGGGTCTAGCTTGCAGCACAATCTTCTTTTTCTTTTCCTTAAAATATCTGTATCTATAATATTTCACCCCAGTTAGATCTAAGCTTGAATTAATTTCTGTTGTTTGTAATTCTATTATATCTACTGATACAGACTGGAATACATCCAGCAGAAGTTTGCAGCCCTTTAATTTATTTGCCCCTGTCCACAAGTGAATTACAGTTATCTTTATGCACTAGAGCAATTAAAATTGCACACCTTATGTCAGAGGAGGCACCACCTCAATGTACTGCTCCTTTTTAAACTTTACTTCGTTTCTAAATTGTTCTTTTCTTGAAAGCGTTAGTCTTCAAGTGCCTGCTCAACAGAGATTTTCTTTGCTAAATACCTCTCTCCAAGTAAAAACTGTTCCTTCCTAGCTGAACATGAGCTGCTAATGTTGTCTGCTGGGGGCATTGACTTATTTGGCAGTAAAAAATTTTGCAGAGGAAATGCCCCCCCCCACACACACGCATGCACATACACAGATATATATATATATATATTTTTTTTCTTTTTCTTTTTCTTCTTCTCAGTTGTACTGATTGAATTTTATTGTCTAAACAACAAAAGATGCCTTGTTTTCACTTCTGACTTTGTGTGTACATGTTTGTCTCTTTCCTTCCTTGTTCATTAATATATCATAATTGGCCTTTGGGCTGCTGAGTAAGCACATAAATAAATAAAGAGCTGAATCATCATCATCATCATCATGCCCTCAAGTAACTTTTCTTTCTGTGTTTACCTTTGAAAATGATTTCCTTTCTGATTTCACACCTAATATAGCATCAATTGTGTCCCTACGATCATTTAACCTCTGGTTAAATCCAGGCTCATTTGATGTGAGAAACCGCAGGAACTGCAGATCACTTTCAACTAATCTTGGAGACATATCCTATAAAATAAGATACCAAGTCAGAATTAGAGAAACAGTGATACATGTGAATATACTTCATGATTTAATTCTAACACAAAGCCACACAAAATCATAAGATAAGACTTCAGTGGAACGCATTACAGAATGTTCTAACATAACAACACTGAGTATAAAATATTAACAAATATAATTTACAAATGGTATAATTGTATTAAAATGCTGGATGATGTGGATTAAATACAGCCTGAGAAATAATTCTACTTAATACAATATCAAAGAAGTATGTTACACAAAAGGTCTATTGAATACACTAACTTGGAACCAGGACAAAGTATTGTAAGTTATAAAAAGCAGAGAATTAACTTAGTAAATACTCATTTCATATCTCTGTTTTTCACCATTTTTATACTAAGTTCTATGAGCTTCATTACCTACCAAGTAGGAATACTAATTAATAATCTTAAACAAGCTGTAAAAATCTTTTAGTTTCCTAACAGGTGAATGCCTCAATTTTTATTTAATTTCTCTTAGTTACATTCACAAATTTCTCTAATTTTTCTTTTATGTGCACAAAAAGTAAAAATATAAAATATTTAGAGTTACTTAAAATAATATAAGAAAAGTAAAGCTATCCTTGTACCAGGCCGTGAAGGCCCATAGGGTTGTGAGACATTGAGGATCCCACATTATCTAGACAATCAGATCAAAGACGGCAGTAAGGTCGTCAGCCTTCTGCATCGGCTGCGTTTTACTCCCAAGGAAAATTATTTAATTAATTCCTGGTACTCATTTCTGTTAGAGGCTGAGTGAACCCCAGGGCCATAGTGCGGCTGGAAGGATTAGGTCAATTGAAAAAATTCAATGACCTCATCGAGACTTGAACGCGTGACCTTCCGGCTTGTAGCATAGCCCCTCAACCAACTACGCTACCACATGCCCCCCTTAAAATAATGTACAGGATCAATATCTTCAAAAAGGTTGTGGAGGGTGTAACATAATTACAGGAAAACATGACACCGAAGTGACCTTCCCACCAAATGATATGTAAATGGCCAACTGTGTTCAAAGCTATTGCTCATGGACAAACACATAAAACAACATGCATCCCTCAACTGTGTATATTTCCATGCATAAAAGAACCCAAGAAAAGGCTATAATTTCTTTATGATGTAATTCACACACCATGAATTTCTTGAAGATATCTCCATTGTAGTGGTTTTCGATATATCGTGAAATTAAGGCCTCTTTGGTACTTCTTCGCTGCTTTTTCATTTTCACAGCTTTTCCATAAGCTGAAATGGAGAAGTCATAACTCAGAGATGTGCAGGCAGCATGTTCCTCCAAAACATTGCTATCCATCTACCAGACTACATAGTGTCATTATCCAGAAGATCACACTATGAATGTTAATCCTTTAACCATGTCTATCCAGTTTGTGTGCATCATCTAAGTTGCCAGCAGGAATAAAACTTGAAAACATTTTTTAATTTACATTACATTACATTGCATTTTCTGGATCCAAAGTCAGTCAAAATAACAGTAGGATGTGTAATATGTTATATAAATACAAAAACATACATACCACTGGATTTTTCATACAAGAAAACCAAAGCAAACACAGTGGTTACACTTAAGGCTATTCAAAAATACATCCACTTACATATATCCATACAGTCAACTTAAGCTATTAACACACCCTTTAAACTGAGTCATTTTTTAGACAATAAGTATTCATCAATGGTTAGCCGGGATAGCTCACTCGGTATAGCGACTGGCTACAGGGTGCATGACTGAGGGGTCAGAGTTTGAGTCCCAGTAGGGTCAAGAATTTTCTCTTTTCCATGGCATCCAGACTTGCTCTTGGATCCACTCAGCCTCCTATCCAATGGGTACTGGGGGGGGGGACATACTTCAAGGAAGACAAAGATTTAATATAAACTTAGTAACATTCCTAGGTCTGTCAATGAATTGTGTTTTCTTGTGGTTATTAGACCAAATACTATGTATTATGCGTGAGAAATGTTAAGGACAAGTAGTGCATATAATAATTTGTGGAAACAAATTTCAGAGATGGTTTAGTTTTTAACTTCAGCTACAACTACTATATATGATGCATGGGGAAAATTAAGGACATATTCAGCATATCAGAATTAGTGGAGACAAACTTCAGAGTAGGTTAGGTTCAGTTCTCCTTCGTACATTATGGCGAGTAAAATAATAGAAACTGCAGGAACTCTACAATACAGAGAGTTTTAACCATTCATAACAAACTGGAACATAACCTAATTTCGCCTGTATACATACACCACATATTTGGTTCCATGTGTAACTAAACTCATCCAACTACATTCAGATATTACATTTCTGTTATACACGGCTGAAATCACCTGCAACTATGCACACCTCTTAGTATTTAAATAAGCCAGTACTTGAAAAGTGAAATAATCACTGTTGAGTTTCACATGTACAAAAACTCCAAGGCAATATTTTGAAAAGCGCGGTACATATAACCGCTGGAATTCATTTCAGCCAACATAATCCTACCGTAGATATACAGCGACTGTGTTGTCGTGCAAGTTTCGCTGTTTTGTTTGAACCTCAAGGGACTACCGTGGGCTCCTCGCATTACACGGAAACTTCCCCATGTAACATAGGCCTGTACAGGCTTATAACAGTTTTTTTTACCATCCTCACAGTTAACAAAATTATCATACTATGAAGTCAACGGAAAATAATATATTACGCTTCCATATATGTGAAGAATCTATAGGACCACATCATGAATATTTCCAGTGACAGGCAACGGTGTCTTCATTAAATTGTAACTTGCGGAGGGGTTGGGGAGCATACGTATGTTGAGTTTTTTGATTTGAGATTTTCACAGCGGAGACCATGAAAGGTTTCAGCTTCTGGGATGTAACGATACATAGTCTTGTGAAAGTTAATCGATGTTTCGGAGGAAAATATGGCAGAGCTCTGCTTTATGCCTGAACCTTGCTTGTCTTACTCATCGACCGTGAAGGCGACGTGTTCTTGGCAGACATCGGTTTACGTCCACCGGACGACATGGCGTTATATTCCAGAATATACGTGTAGATCTCCGCACATTCCTGTTTGTCTCCTGTGTAACAGATATGACTCAATAATGAATAGCATCGGGTCGTAAATTTGTTTTCATGCAGTATTGGAGCTACTCTTCTCTTTGTTGACAACAATGAAAACATACTTAAAAATTCCTTGCAGATCTTAAAAAATGTTTAATACATCCATAAAATTCTTACTGCAATTAGAAATTGTTCATTGCATTTTGTATACGGATATGTGAACTTGTTCTTTTAGTTTTTAGCTTAACTTTCCAAAAATGAGATGCATAGTTTATCCCGGGAACATTCTATTCGAAAAAGAAGGTAGTTTATCTAAATACGTATCAAATACTGATGTTATTTGAGGACAGGTGTGATTATAATTATTCGTGTACAACAGGGAACTTCTAGGAATTAATGAACTGGAACAGATTAAACTTTCCTCGTAGAAGCTCTGTGCGTCACAGTTCTCACAAAAGATCAGGCCTTAAAACCCAGGTATTCCAGACCGGCGCGTGAGGCTGATAACCTCACCGCCATCTGTGAGCCGATTGTCCAGAAAATGTGGGAGCCCCGACGTCTCACAATCCTACGGGCCTCTACGGCCTGTTACAGGGATAGCTTTACCTCCAGTACGTTTCTTGCTCTAGTGCAGAGACTAACTACGCAACTGCCGGTTACGGTAGCCGAGCGGTCTAAGGCATGCACTGTCTTCGCTCGCTTGGAAACCGGGATCGTAGGTTCGAATCCCACTGATGGCATGGATGTTTGGTTTGTGTGTGTGCGTTTGTCTGTGTTTGTGTACAGGTAGAGGCCTTGTGACGAGCTGATCACCCGCCCAAGGAGTCCTCCTACCGAATGTGTAAGATCTGGAAAAACCGAAGTGAACGGAGAAGTTCATGGAGGTAGGCCTAGGCCCACTGGGGCTGTAGCGCCAAGGAAAAAAAACTACGAGACTATAATTATGAAGGCTCCAATCCAGGCCTTGTTATGACATTTGACATTGCTCGTATTTACCTTAGGTGACAGGTCCGATCGGTAAGTTATTTAATGGCTGCTGAAATAGTTCGGTGTGAATGAGACGAAAGGATAACTACGAGGTATGTAGGGTGAAGTGGAAGTGATTGGGGAGGAAGCGATTCAGTCCGGTTTAATGGCACTATCACGGCAGTAGCCGGAAGAAATGGGGGGGAAAAAAATCATGAAATACGTATGTTGGGATAATCGGTTCCTCGTCAGAGACACGATTGGGGTATTGACTCGTGATCGGAGTACTGCCAGAATACAAATCAGGAACGTTAATACGTAATTCGTTAACCTTCTCTGCCGGGAGGGGATACTGAGGAAAATAATAAGTGACCAGGGACGTGAAAAATAGAAGGGAAGAAAATACAAAAGAAGATAAGATGGAGGGATAAAGAACATATGGGATAGATGTACGTTACATTCAAGACAGAGACTTTTCGAACAAAAGCAATGTACGAAAATACGGGATGGAAACGAATTATTTCTAGCCAGTGGCCTTTTGATTATAACTAAAGAGAGAAGAAATAGAAGGTGGCAATTAAATTCTGAACTCGAACAAGAAACCTTCCGCACAAATCAAACGTATTACCATTAACTCGCTACACAGGCCTACATGACAGATTAATATTTCTAACGCAAGTTACATGACGGGGGAACAGAGTATTTTACCGCATGGAACCGGAACGTCAATAAATAACGGTTCCTATTGTTCAGTTCCACTCAGTCAAGACACAAATACAATTCAAATGTCAAATCGAAACCAGAGCGTTCAGGTAAGCAAGACGTACTTAAAATATTCATATATCGGAGAGACTGCTCGTACCTCACTTGTTATACGTGTTCATATCAAGTAGAACTACGCCTTTCTCCCAGTAATGGAAAGCTTTTATTGAGAGCAAGAGTGTCATATCGGTTTCGTCTCTGCTAAAGCCGGGAAATTTGTCCGAATCGTTTTCTTTCTAAGTTGCCCTTTTCGTTCTTTCCTTTCGCTGTCCCTCTTTCTTTCGAAAAGTGTATGCACACACATGCACGCACGGCAACACACACGTAGTCTCTATGTTATAATCATCAGTGACATAATTTTAGTTATTGTGTTTAACTGTTTATCTGATGAATCTTTTCGGACTTAAAAATACTGACGGAGATAAAAAATTCAGTAATACGACGGTTAAAAAATGTTTTTGAACTACACAGAGAAACATCAGTTAACAAATTTAAATATTTTTATGCAGCGTTAACTCAATGACTTACATACTTACTCATGGAGCTGAGCCCTTCTGAAGGAGCCGCCAATTCTGCAGCTACTCAAGAATTTCCCAGCATTTTATGGAACCCGAAGGTTCATTACCGTGTTCACAAGAGCCCTCCACTTGTCCCTATCCTGAGCCAGATCTATCCAATCCATACCATCCCATCCTATCTCTCTGAGATCCATTCTAATATTATCCACCCACCTACTCCTTGGTCTTCCCTGTGGTCTCTTTCCTTCTGACTTTCCCACCAATATCCTATACGCATTCCTCGTCTCCCTCATTCGTGCTACAAGACCTGCGCACCTCATCCTCCTTGACTTTAACTCAATGACTTAGGTAATACAAACCAAAGATTTCATAGGTCTACTATTAACATGGGCCTAAATACCCGATCCAAATTCAGGCCACGTTTACAAGCACAATTTTGGAATGATATGTTTATCTCCTTCTATGCTTACAAAGTTGTTATTTCGAAGAAATTTTCTCGTCAAAATTCTATACTCATTTTTTGTCCTCCGTTCTCCTTGGCTACCATAGCAATGTAATGAAGAGGGTATACACGGCCGTGTACAAGCAGAGGTAATGCCTGTTATAATAAAGAAGGCTGTTATAGCCAGAACTTTCGTATTATGAAGGAGGAAATAGAACTTCTATCAGTTATATGGTAGTTATGCCCTAATGTGAGATGGGGTCCTATTTACAACCAGAATCCGAACTTCTTGCTTTCCACATTCTACAATATCAATTCGAGCTATAGGCTTTATTTTGGGACAGATTCAATATTTCGATTTGTATTCGTGTTCTGTAGGAAGCTAGTGTAGCGCCCCCTTGAAAATTCAGCGGGAATTCTCACAATTGAATATGTAAACGTATACTATTTATTTCCCTTGCTATCTCCCGTATTCCCGTACAGTCCTACATGCTATCAGCTGAAGTATCAGGGCCAACGTTTAATGCCCTCTCCCATTGATAACAAACTCCGTTGCCTTTAGTTCGCAAATGAAATACACCGACCGAGCGACCGCGGCTTGTCGCCGAAGTTAGTGTCAACTTTTGCGGATGGAGGGTGTCGTGTGGTCAGCGCAACGGATTCCCAAGGCAGTTAATCTCGGTTTTCTAGACCGGAGCCGCTGCTTCTTCCATTCAAGTAGCTCTTCAATTATCCTAACGATGCTGAGTGGACCCCGTTCCATACACAGTACTTCTCAGAAAATCCGGTAGCGCCGGAAATGGAACCCGGGACCTCTGAATCTGTAGCCAGGGACTCTGACCACTAGACCACAGAAGCGGTCTACAACTCCTCATTCAGATTTAATACTCGTATTTTACTAAAACAGAAAGGAGGAATTATGACACCGCCATTTAAATACATAGAAGAATAGGACATATAAGAAGGAGCCTTTCAACGTTACTCTTGTAGTCTTGAATCAGGTTCACTAAAAGCCAAGGACAGAGTTTTGGTTTACCCTGGTCTCATAAAACACTGTAACGTGAACGAATTTCAGAATTACTGGGGTTCTGGACTTTTCCGTCGTCATATTCTAGAAACTGGAAATCACAAAGTTTCGGAAACAGATCCGTTCTCCGAAACGTCATGTTTTCTAGTTTCTAGAATACCAGACGATGGACAAAGTCAAAAACTTTAGTAATTATGAGTGTTATACACCATCGTCAGAACCCTTCAGGATCTACATGAACTAATTTCTCTAAAAAAAGTAGTAAAATATGAAAGAAATTAAATTTTTTAATCGCTTAAAATCTTGAGTACACCGAACATTGAATAATCCTGTATCTTAGAATTATTGCTATGGAGATGTAACGTTTCTGAGTATAAGTCGACTTATATCGCTCTCGGCTTAAAGAAAACTCCCACTCGATTTTGACCAATGACCGATGTTCACTCACCTGCTTCATTCGAGCTTGTTTTGCTTTCACAACCGACAACAAAGCGTCATCATGTCAGACACTTAGCTTTCTGCCTGGGCGTTTCATCAATAATTTAGCGTTGATATTAAGGCAGGAGGGCACCTGCGTTCCTGTTCTAAGCTACATACAGCAGCCATTAACACACGATTAACCTAAACCTCAGGACAAGAGTTATTTTTTACATTCGTTATGCAACAGAGGCGTAAAAAAGTAAAGCTATCCCTGTAACAGGCCGTGAAGGCCCATAGGGCT